TGAAGAAGACATTTGTTGCCTTACCCGTAGACGACTTTACCATGACCAAAGAGATGCTTGCCAGCTATGTATCCAACGCCGAGGTCGAGGACATTGGTATTGATAAGGACACGCTTGGCCATATTGCGGTGATGGACTGCACCCAGTCCAAGAACAAGGCAGGTCTCCAGGTCATCACGGCCTACCTACGCAAGGCTAAGAACGAAGTAGACAACTGTCGCTGCCTGGAATTCACTGGCACCGTATTACCCGAGGTGGGTTTTAAGAGCCGTCTACAGCTATCTCTTCCAGTAGGAACACAGGTGTCTATGCGTCACTACTCCAACATTATCGCTGCCCTGTTAACATCTCAGCTGCGAGGACAGCCTGCACATTTACCCCAACTGACCAACAGCAAGGGTGAGTTCTCGGCCTTTGTAGACTTTGACGGCAGCCCATACGGTTCTACCAAGCTCATCTCCAATGGCGTGGAAGTACCATTTGTGTCCCTTGACCAAGTTAAAGGGAGACGTGTGAGAGTCGCTATTGATGTCAAGGGGTTGCAATGGGTTGTGCCGCGTGACTATGACCCTACCAACCCTGCTGATGTGCGTATGTACGGTAACTTTAAGATTGCCGTGACTAGTATCGAGATACTAGTGAAGAAAAGTCCTTCGAGTCTAGCAGCTGAAGCCCTTGGTGTATTTTCCGATGAGACAATGTCGGATAGCGATGACGAAGATGTAGAGGATCCAGAGGACGACGACATGGAGTAATCATTGTAGATAATGTACACATTAGCAAGCATCCAAATAAACTATACTATGGCGCTATACCCTCAGTCCAATTAGTGTCTTCGTTTATATAAAAATACCTGATATTAGACTCGTTCGTTTCACACGTTGGTGGGTCCTGTTTATAGTACATACAGTAGACTCGTTTAAACATCTTTGCCAGCTCTTTATCAGGACATTTTGTACTTTTGGTTGTTTCCACCACTAGATTATCTGTTTCTTTATCAGGGCTGAATATATCTGAATCGTATTTACTATCATCAGTGTACCTATTCTGATCGTTCTTGTAGGAGATACGCAGGCCTTTGCTGCGCACATATGCCTCAATATTTCTAAGATATGTCTTATCAAAAACTTGATCGGTGTTGTCGAGATCAATACC